TAGGGGGAAGGGAATGGAACCTTGACCATGTCATCCACTGACAAAGGCATAGGTCAGGAATTGCCAAACTTGGCCCTCCAGCTGTTTTGGGACTACAACTCCCATCATCCCTAGCTAACAGAACCAGTGGTCAGGGATGATGGGAACTGTAGTCCCAAAACAGCTGGAGGGCCAAGTTTGGCCATGCCATGTCATTCACACAGCCATATATCGTCATCATAGTTTACCTTTCATGATGGATTCAGGTGTTGCTTTGTCATTGACAGGACTCCACGTGGTAGGCATCAACTTTAAAATGTCTCAGCAGGCCCTGTGCATTGGACCAAATGTGCACAGCCTCTCCAGCAGGTCTCCAAAGAAGAGCAACCCTGGCAGGGGTGGAAGTGTTGCCCTCATATGAGACAATTCATGGACCAGAGATTCTTTATTTAATGCATGCATTGTGGAGCATCAGCATGGCAAACTTATTCCCCCTGCCCCAGCCTCTAAGCAGGGACCATAACATTTAAACTGGCCCTTTCCCCCCTGCTGATTATAGCACTTCAATTGCACATCATTGGTACTGACTGCTATCTTCAAATCCAGGGGGAAGCCTATCACATGCAAAGGTATTTTTGCATAGTTAAGTTTAACAGTGCCAGGTCCACAAACCAAGTTATCAACCTCCCTAGATCTGCCTTGCAGATAACAACAACAACAACAACAACAACAACAGCAATAATAATAATAATAATAATTTTTATTTATACCCCGCCCTCCCCAGCCAAGGCCGGGCTCAGAGCGGCTTACAAGCAATAATAAAAACAAGTTGAATGATTACAACTTTAAAAAATAAAATTAAAATACAACATTAAAAGATTGAAACATTAAAATATTAAAATGTAGCCTCATCGCAGGAGGAGAAGGAAAGGAAAAAAGAAAGAGAGGGAGGGAATCAAATTGGCTCCAAGTCAAAGGCCAGGCAGAACAACTCTGTCTTACAGAAATCAGATAAGCATGCAAAAAGGTTGCAGTCTTCACAAACCACTCTCCTGGGGAAAAGTCAGCACCAGTGCATTCAGCAGGGCTTACTTCTGAGTAGGCAAAAAGTGTACTACCAGTTCTTGGATCCCAGGATGCTGCAGGGTGACAACTCCTATAATCCCTTGTTATCTAAGATGACTGGGAATGATGGGAGTTGCAATCCAATAAAACCGAACGACCCAAAGTTGAAGAACATTGTGTCAGTAGCCTATCTATCTAAACATACCTGCACAAATCACCCATGGCAGGTGCCATAGCACTTCTAATGGTTGCAGGATGCCTCCCCCTTAAAGTCCCCAGAGGAATGCTATGTGACGACATCGCATCACGCATACGGATAGCTGTCGTTTTGTCTCCATCTGAGCAATGCTAAATGTTGGTGTGGGAGTGACAGCTCTCAGGAGTGTTGAGACTAAAGCCGTGTGGTTTTGGCCACCTTCAACCACAAATTGCACCCCCTCCGAAACATAGCAATTGCCCTCTCAATTTTCTATCTGCAGATGGGTAGCTGGTGCATTCTAGCTAATCTTAGTTTCAGTATTCAATTTTTGATACAGGGAGTGCAAAAAAGAGTTTTATCATCGCTTTTGAAAACAGCCATGCAGTACAATCTGATCCATGTCTAAAGCGAGTCCCACTGGCTTCCATTGGATTTGCTCCCAAGTAGAGCCACAGTTTTCAAGCCGGTTGAAAACCAGCTGAGGAGCCATTGGATGCAGTGTACGTATGGCTTCATGGGTGGACAGAAGGCCTACCAAGTGAGATGGCACATCTGATTCTCAAGGAACTGCTAATAACCCCACTGACAGCAACAACGGCAGAGCTGCGTTTAATATTGCTACTGCTAGGGCTTGAGGGGTGTCCTGCACCTGGAAGAGAAGGGAAAGGATCATGCACATGCTATAGCAAGGGAGCACACCCACTTTTGCCTCTAGCCCTGCCCACCACTACAATGCGGCCCCCAGAAGACTACCCAGGAACTAATGCGGTGTTGCGTTCGCAAAGTAAAGGAAGGATTAAACTCTGATTAATAAGAATACACACAGAGACTTGAACCAGCAAGACTCTGGGAAGGGTGCGTATAAATCGTGTCTCTCTGTGCCTGTCCGAATGCAGCAGCCCCTGGCCCAGGTGTTTTATTCACAAAAGAGCTTTTTACAGAGTGTTCGAAAGAACCAATCAGATTTCTTCTGAGCATTTCAACAAACCCACGTGGGGACAAAGTTAAACCACTAAAACTAATTAAGCACAAATATTTCTGGGGTAAATAAGTTGAGAACTACAAAGAAGAGCATCTGGCAACCCCAGAGGTCATAAACAATCAATACATATGATAAGAAGGATGGCCAGGAGGACAGTGACCATTATCCCCTTAATGTGAGATCTGTTTCCTGGCCCTAAGATTAACATCCTACATCAAAAGAAACTTGCCCCCTATCTTTGAGGACCCAGGACGCCTGCCTGTCTAAGCAACTGGGCTGTGTATGTGACAAGAGAAATGGGCAGTAGAGAAAATGGCCAGAGATGCAGAGGTGTAGATTGATCAAGAATCATATCAAAAATAGTTTAAACCCAGTCAACGCAATGCTTTCATTGCTGACACAGATGGCTTACTCTATGTTTGTTATAATTCCTCATAGCAATCCCACCTGATCACTACATCTCTGGAAATTTACACTCCTACAATGCGGCCCTCAAGCGCACATGAATGTAAATGTAGAGGAGCGAGATCAGCATTTTAATCCTACAGCCTTTTAAATGTGTCTGTGAGAAGCAGGGGGGGGGTATTGTTTTGTTGTTTTGGTTTTATTATTTACTTGTTGTCAGGGGTTCAGGAGCAGAGGCACAGGAAAGGGAGGAAATAGAGAGCGAGGGGGAGGAGTCCGAAGGAAATGTTAGCGATGACAGCGGTCCGAGGTCTCTGAGTCTTTCCAGCGAATCGGAAGATTCACAGAAAGGGGCTCCCTTGGTCAGAGCAAGGGGGTGCCGAGGGGACACCCCAGGAAGAAGGGGCCAGAGGGGACTCAGAGAGCAGCAGTTGGAAATCAGGACCAGCGTCCACACCAGAGTGCAGTAGGGGGGGAGGAGTCCCAGGCATCGGGATCAGGCGGCGCACTGCCAGTGGGAGGACATGAGTCAGGATTGGCCACGCCTCCATCGGGGAGCGAGGAAACGGTCGAGAGGAAGGTTGAAGGCTGGGCGCGCGCGCCAAGTTCAACTGTACCGGAGGGCGGCGCAGTTGGCAGCCCGGATAGGGAGCCAGGTCCCAAAGCCCGCCGAAAAGAGGGGGAGGAGTCAGGGGGGTCAGCGTCAGAAGAATCCAGGAAGGAAGGGACCCCGGGGGGTAGCAGGACCCAGAGGAGAAAGGAGAGACGCAAGAGGTGGAGTAAGGCTAGAATCTTAAACTGGTGTACAGGGGGGCGGAGACTCAGATGGAGCTTCGCCGATCTAACCCCTAGACGTAGAGCTGGGGCGCTCCGGCTTGAAAATGGAAACTGTACTTCAATAAAGACTTTTGTACATTACTGCCGGCTAGCGTTGGTCCTCTGTGAGCTGGGACCTGGAGCCAGCTCTGACAGTAAGCTCCATCTCAAAAATTTTGCACCAAAAACCTCGTAACGTGAGTGGACGCAGCGAGGGGAGAAGATTGGTGCTTCGCGAGCTCACAAAAGTCAGGCAAGATGACTACAGAACAGCAACTAGCAGCCCTGCAAAATGCAGTGACACAACTCAACGCGGAGGTACTCGCATCCAGGAAAAGGGAAGAGGAAGCGGCTGCCGCCTGCAGGGATCTCCAAGCCAGGTTGGAAGTGCTTGCTAAGCAGGGGCAACCGGGACCCAAATCAGAGGGGATTGGGCTGGGGAAAAGAGGAGGCAGCCTGGTATCTCATTTCGATGGGAATTTGCAGCAGTACCCTAACTTCCGAGCAGACGTGCTGTTTGCGCTGGAACTGCTGGATAAAGACTTTAGAGATGAGCAAGAGAAGGTGGGGTTTATCTTGTCCCATTTGCATGGGGAAGCTAAAGCGTGGCTGCGCAATTTGTGGAGAGATAAGGATCCGGCGCTCCAAAATGCGGATGCATTCATTAAAGCGATGGATTCGTGTTTTTTATCAAATATAGACATTGATATCGCCAGAAAAGACATACATGGGCTCAAACAAGGCAGAGCCAGTGTAAGGCAGTACCATTCCCGCTTTTTTTGCATTAGTCCATGCGCTGGGATGGGAGAAGGATTCTGCCCCAGCCAGAGACCTTTTTTTTGGGAAGGCTTGAATGCAAATGTGAAAGATGAGATTGCAAGGGGGGAGAGACCAAAGAGCACTCAGGAGGTTGTCCGGCGGGCGCTGCAAATTGGGGTGCGTCTGGAAGAACGTCCATGGAACAGAGAAGAAGGACGTTGGGGACGTACGCCAGTGAGAGCACCTCCCCTCTTTCCCAAGGATGCAGCGCGTGTGCAATCCCCACCTCCGCAAGGAGGGGGAGAGCAACCGATGGAGATTGGAGGCGCCAGGGCTCAGTCAGCAACCAGAGCCTTAACACCGGGAGCAGTCAAAGCGAAGCCTCCTAGAGGGAACAGGAAGTGCTACATCTGCGACAGTGCTCAGCACATGGCGAAAGAGTGTCCCCAGAGGCTCCACAAGCACACTGCAGCCTCAGCAACAGTAACAGAAGCAACTCAGCAGAGAGAACCACAGCAGGGAAACGACAGAGTCTGGTTGGAGGAAGAGGCACTGGGGCCCAACCAGACAAGTCAATGAAGCCGTCCCCAGAGATTTTGCAGCCCACAGACCCCCTCCCGCCCAAACCAGTGGTGCAGCTCACAGCATCGCTCCAACTACCCAATGGACTCACTATGGAAGTGCCGATTACCATTGACTCTGGTAGTAACGCAGACTTCATAGGACTGGATTTCCTTCAAGAGCACAACATAGCACTCCTGCCAGCCACGCTGCCTCTGAAAGTTGTCACGGTGGATGGCAGGGAATTGCTGGGGGCAGGTGGTGCAGCAAACGCCTCCGATGGTGATGCAAATTGGGAATCACCGAGAAGTCATCAGCTTCAATGTCACCCAACTGTCGGACACGCCTATAGTATTAGGCATGAGTTGGCTGCACAGGCACAGCCCAGCATTGGCGTGGTACCAGCGACAACTGACCTTCGGCTCCTCATACTGTGCGGAACATTGCATTCTGCCTAGCCCGGAAGGGGAAGAGGATGACCCGCAGCTACAATTAGGCACGCTGCAAGCAGTGCCACTCAAGTACGCAGCGTTTTTGGAGGTTTTCTGCGAGAAGGAAGCGGACAAGCTACCTCCCCACAGGTCTTATGACTGCAAGATTGACCTCCTGCCAGGGGCGACGCTGCCAACCGGGAAACTGTATTCCATGTCTGAAGACGAGCTGCAGGAACTCAGGGAGTTCATAGACCTCAACTTGAAGCGCGGTTTCATCCAGGAGTCGAAGGCAGTGGGGGGCAGTCCTGTATTCTTTGTGAAGAAGAAGGACACGCCCCAAAAAAGGCTTGTGGTGGACTATAGAATTTTGAACTCGAAAACCAAGCCCACAGCCTTTCCCATGCCCAAGATTGATGACCTGCTCGCAACGGTGAGGAAAGGACGCGTTTTCACAAAGTTGGATCTGCGAGGGGCGTACAACCTGATTCGCATACGGGAGGGCGACGAATGGAAGACTGCCATGTTCACGCCCCTGGGCACCTATGAATACAGAGTTATGCCCTTTGGATTACAAAATGGCTCCCACTGTTTTCAAGCCTTCATGCATCACGTATTGGCGGGTCTCCTCTACAAGAAATGCGTCTGCTTCCTGGACGACATCCTGATATTTTCAGAATCAGAGGAGACCCACGAGGGAGACGTCAAGGAAGTTCTGCAGAGACTGCAGGAGCACAGGCTGTACGCCAAGCTGGAGAAGTGCCAGTTCGACATGAAGGAGGTAGATTTCCTGGGCTACAAGTTGTCGGACAAGGGGCTCGCCATGGACAGCGCCAAGGTTCGCTCAGTGTTGGACTGGAAGAGCCCGCGCAATCGGAAGGAGGTCCAGCGGTTTGTCGGTTTCGCCAACTTTTACCGCAAGTTCATCAAGGGGTTCGCGATGCAGACGGCGGCCATTACCGACACGCTCAGCTCCAAGAAGAAGAAGTTCATCTGGACGGAGCAAGCGGAGCAGTCCTTTCAGAAACTCAAGCGTCTCTTCTCGTCCGAAGAGCAGCTACTGCATGTGAATCCCAGCAGACCGATGAGGGTTGAAACGGACGCCTCAGACAGAGCCGTGGGAGCAGTACTGTTGCAGCAAGACCCGCATGGGGACTGGAGACCGTGTGCCTTCTACTCCAGGAAGCTCAGCAAGTCAGAGCAGAACTACACCATCTGGGACAGGGAGTTGCTGGCCATTCATGCAGCATTCAAGGCGTGGCGGCACTTCCTCATTGGAGCCAAACACACAGTGCAGGTCCGCACGGACCATAAAAACCTGGAGTACTGGCGCACGGCAAGGTTCCTGAACCAGAGGCACATACGATGGGCGGAGTTCTTTGCGGATTTCGACTTCAGGATAGAGTACATCCCAGGCGACAACAACATCATGGCGGATGCACTGTCCAGAAAGCCGCAATACCTCGAGGAGGCGGCACCAGCAGCGGCCAAGCACATTTTCGCACCGAAAGCGTGGGCGTGCGCTTCAGCAACCGTGGACCTGGATGCTGTACGTCGAGCACTGCAGGATGACCCCTTCGCGCAAGCAAAGATGGCAGAGGTGCAAAGGGGCACGGCGGAGGACGACGAGTTCCAGATACGCGACGGATTGCTCATCCGCAGAGGGGCCCTCTACGTACCGGGAGACGACCTCCGCGCGAAAGTACTGCAGCAGTTGCACGACGCACCCACCGCCGGGCACTTTGGCAAAGAGAAGACGGTAGAATTAGTAGCCAGAGATTTTTGGTGGCCCAAGATGCGGGGGGAAGTCGCGGATTACGTCTCGAGGTGCGACACATGCCAAAGGGCCAAGTCAGTGCACAAACCGCCGGCGGGACTGCTCGAACCCCTGCAGACACCGCTCGAACCGTGGGAGAGGGTGGCCCTGGACTTTGTCACGGATCTACCCAGCTCGAGGGGCAAGACGGCAGTGCTAGTGGTGGTGGACATGTTCACCAAAATGGCCCACTTCATTCCGTGCGCGAAGGTGGCCACGGCGGAACAGACCGCCAAACTGTTCATAGACCACGTGTTCAGGGTTCACGGTCTGCCACGGTCTATCCTGTCCGACCGGGGCGACAGTTCATCTCGAACTTCTGGCAGAAGCTGATGGGTTTCCTGAACGTCAAGATCAACCTAGCGTCGGCGAGACACCCGCAGACGAACGGACAAGCGGAGCGAGTCAACGCCATCATGCAGCAGTACCTGCGATGCTACGCAAATCAGCAGCCGGCAACATGGGTGGACTACCTGCCGCTCGCTGAGTTCGCCTACAACAACACGAAGCACGTGTCCACGGGGGTGACACCGTTCTTCGCCAACAACGGGAGGCATCCCAGAACCTTCCCGGGATTAGCGAGAGCGGGGGAGGGGGAGCCACAGGCAGCGGAGGCCTTAGCATCAGAGTTGCAGGAGGTTCACGAACAGCTTCGGAGGCAGTTAGAACTAGCAAAGCACGCATACAAACTGCAGGCTGACAAGCACAGGAGGGTTGGGGAAGACATACAGGTGGGAGACTGGGTTTGGTTAGCAGCCCAGGCAGTGCCGGCCAGATCGTTAGCGAAGAAGAAGCTAGGGCATAAGCAGCTAGGACCCTACCAAGTCGAGGCACAGGTCAATCCAGTGGCCTTCCGGTTGACACTGCCGGAGGGATCCAGAATGCACCCAGTTTTCCATAGATCAGTGCTCACGCCCTACAAAGCACCTCATAGATTTCAGGAGCCAGGAACGGCACCAGACCCGTTCAGGGAAACGCCCACAAGGGGGTCGCCAAGGCGGGAACCCGTCAACGAAGTCACAGAGATTTTAGACTCGAGATGGGGGAGGAGGGAGTGGAATACCTCCTCGCCAAGGAAGGTACCCCGGCTAGCGCCAACAGTTGGGTGCCAGATTATGCTCTGGAGGAATCTTGGCTCAAGGACGAGTTCCATGCACTTTTCCCACACAGGCCCATGCCAGCCGAGTATTTCGACGACTGGCTTTTCACACCCACATTTTCAGCTAGCACATTCCAGGGGTTCACCTCGGACGAGGAACCGGCACTAGAAGCACGTTCCCCGGAGGGATCACCCTCGGGGTCTGCCTCAGACCGTTCCTATTGGTGGGACAATCAACCAGAGGAGCAGTGGCGCAGGAAGTGGTTGGGGGGTCCTTGGCAGGCAACGTCCCCGGAGGAGACCGGGGAGAGACGGACATGGACGTGTTGGGGGAGGACCTTGGGTTCGAGCACGGCGGCAAAGAGATGGAAGCAGAGGAAATTGAGGTCGGCGAGAGCACGGAGGACGAGCCGGACTTATCCGGCTGGATGCACGCCACGGGGGGACGAACTGTATCCGGCACTCACCCCCACAACGACGGAGCACCCAGTACCCACACCTGAAGGAGGGGAGGGGGGACGGGGGGGCTTCGAGGGGGGGATGGATGTCAGGGGTTCAGGAGCAGAGGCACAGGAAAGGGAGGAAATAGAGAGCGAGGGGGAGGAGTCCGAAGGAAATGTTAGCGATGACAGCGGTCCGAGGTCTCTGAGTCTTTCCAGCGAATCGGAAGATTCACAGAAAGGGGCTCCCTTGGTCAGAGCAAGGGGGTGCCGAGGGGGACACCCCAGGAAGAAGGGGCCAGAGGGGACTCAGAGAGCAGCAGTTGGAAATCAGGACCAGCGTCCACACCAGAGTGCAGTAGGGGGGAGGAGTCCCAGGCATCGGGATCAGGCGGCGCACTGCCAGTGGGAGGACATGAGTCAGGATTGGCCACGCCTCCATCGGGGAGCGAGGAAACGGTCGAGAGGAAGGTTGAAGGCTGGGCGCGCGCGCCAAGTTCAAATGTACAGGAGGGCGGCGCAGTTGGCAGCCCGGATAGGGAGCCAGGTCCCAAAGCCCGCCGAAAAGAGGGGGAGGAGTCAGGGGGTGTCAGCGTCAGAAGAATCCAGGAAGGAAGGGACCCCGGGGGGTAGCAGGACCCAGAGGAGAAAGGAGAGACGCAAGAGGTGGAGTAAGGCTAGAATCTTAAACTGGTGTACAGGGGCGGAGACTCAGATGGAGCTTCGCCGATCTAACCCCTAGACGTAGAGCTGGGGCGCTCCGGCTTGAAAATGGAAACTGTACTTCAATAAAGACTTTTGTACATTACTGCCGGCTAGCGTTGGTCCTCTGTGAGCTGGGACCTGGAGCCAGCTCTGACACTTGTGTTTTACTTTGTATTTTATTCTGTGAACTTTCGATGGAGGGCGGTATATAAATTTAATAAATAAAATAAAATAAAATAAAATAAAATAAAATAAAATAAAATGGGAGAATGTTTGGCTCAACTGTATCCTGGCTCAGTTCTAGCAATGGAGCTGGGATGTGAGAAAGGAGTCTAGAGAGGAAGGCTCAGAGGAGGCAGAGGGAATGGGAGAGATCCAAGGCATAACACTTTACATAAAGTAAGGCCCCTCCCAGCCCTGCTTTTGATGTGTGAACAGGAAAGACATATGAATGACAGCCTTATCACATCCAGTGTGCTTCTCAGTTTATACGGAATGATGGGCTGGTGCCTTGGGTGAATTAAATGTGTTTCCTAGATTATGGTCAACAAACAAAATCCTCACCTCAGCTTGATCCGGGGGTCATTCGGGGCCCAGGATTTCATTTCGTGACATGCTGCTCTGCAATAAACTCCCTGAAGCTGGAAAATTTAAGACTCCTTGGAGTTCATCCCAGAACACCCCATTTCAATATTGTATGCAACATTATACTCCCATCCAGATATGGCTGACCTGTTTCTCAACGAAGCAGCCAAAAAAGCCATCTAGTTATATTTTCTCTTGTCTTAATTAAACAAGGCTGAACTGACTCAGCAGAAAGAACTCTGTTTAATGAACTGTTCATCTGCCAGCTCCGCAGGGGCTTGCAGTGGAAATAAAGAGTGGCATGTAATTCAGGGCAGTGGGCTTCTGTGCTGCCTAATGGACCCTCGTCCTGATTCAGCAAAATGTCATGTTCTGCTGTAGAAATAAGGAGGTGAGGGTTGCAGGGGTTGTAGGTAATTTGGAAGGTCTCCCTCTTGGTGTTGCATTGTAACTTTGTAGCCTTCAAGATTGACAAAGGGAATCAAAGAAGTCTTATGTGGTGCATCTCAACTGATTTTATTTACAGTCATACCTCGGGTTACAGACGCTTCGGGTTGCGTGATTTCGGGTTGTGCACCACGCTGAACCCGGAAGTACTGAAACGGGTTACTTCTGGGTTTTGGCGCTTGCACATGCACAGAAGCTCTAAATCGCACTTTGTGCACGCATAGAAGCGCCAAATCACAACCTGTGCGTGCGCAGATGCAGCGCTGCAGGTTGCGGACGCTGCAGGTTGCACACGTGCTTCCCCCATGGATCGTGTTCGCAACCCAAGCATCCCCTGTATAGTGTTACAAAGTTTGGATGCCGCCCACTTCTCTCTGCTGAGAAGTAGTCTGGAGGTTCCAGGTCCTCACCCAGGGTCTGTGCTCCTTTGGAGAATTGAGACACGGCAGAGACTGTCATAGCTTCAAGAAATATGGTTTGTTCACCTATTTACATCTTCAGTATGCACAGAATCGGTGCATCAATCAGCAGAAAAAAACACCAGTCCTGAGAGATCTGCATTGGCTCCCAGTACATTTCTGAGCACAATTCAAAGTGTTGGTGCTGACCTTTAACGCCCTAAACGGCCTCGGTCCAGTATATCTGAAGGAGCGTCTCCACCCCCATCATTCAGCCTGGACACTGAGGTCCAGCTCCAAGCGCCTTCTGGCAGTTCCCTCATTGTGAGAAGTGAGGTTACAGGGAACCAGACAGAGGGCCTTCTCGGTATTGGTGCCCGCCCTGTGGAACGCCCTCCCACCAGATGTCAAGGAAATGAGTAGCTATCCTATTTTTAAAAGACATCTGAAGGCAGCCCTGTTTAGGGAAGTTTTTAATATTTAATGCTGTATTGTTTTTAACACTTGACTGGGAGCCGCCTAGAGTGGCTGGGGAAACTCAGCCAGATGGGCGGGGTATAAATAATAAATTATTATTATTATTTTCCCAGGGAATTGGTAGAACAGAAGCAGAAGTGTGGGCGAGCCCTGAAATCCCATATACAAAATAGCAACAGTGTGTAAATGTCCTGGGACACATCGGAGAGGAGCTACAAAGCCCCTGCAGGAACCCTTTTTCATTGTGCACTCTTGATTTGTGCTCATGATGGCATTTGGCCAGTTACATGCAAACCCTCTTTCAATAATGTTTGTCCAAACACTTGAACGAAAAATGTGGACCCACATATGTTTGTTTGTGTGCCTGTGTAATAATATCAAGCCATTTTTAGCCTGCTCTCAGCTGAAAAAGGATCACAAAGTGGTTTACAATGTTCACAGACAAGACAATATCTGTCCTCAAGTTTACCATCTAAGAGGTACAGCACAGGAGGAGAAGCTCACGGAAGTACAACTGAGGGGCTACAACAGATTCGTCATCTAATGTCCTCAGCAAAAGGCATTTGGTAGCTAAAGGAAAGGCAACTCTCAGCAGGAGCTGTAGGCACAACTGAGAGTGCTAGACTGAAATAATAATTTAGCATAATGTTCCTTGGCCATTCCTTTGGCAAATGAAACCTTTTCTTTTCTTGTTTCCTTATTTCCTGCCACAAATCCATTCTTCCCTCCTGTATCTTTAACGCGCCATTTCTTGTCTGACCATTTCATTATTTTAACTACTTCGTTCAGCTTAGACGTTTAGAACATTGACAGTATTTGCAAATGAATCCCATCCAGAGTATTTTTCCTGTTCCAAAGGATAACAAACATCTGCCATCTGTTTGCAAATAATTGCATTGTGTTAGCTTCCTCAAGGGGGATGTGGGTGGTGCTGTGGGTTAAACCACAGAGCCTAGGACTTGCTGATCAGAAGGTCGGTGGTTCGAATCCCTGTGACGGGGTGAGCTCCCGTTGCTCGGTCCTGCTCCTGCCAATCTAGCAGTTCGAAAGCACATCAAAGTGCAAGTAGATAAATAGGTACCGCTCCGGCAGGAAGGTAAATGGTGTTTCCGTGTGTTGCTCTTTTTTGCCAGAAGCAGCTTTGTCATGCTGGCCACATGACCCGGAAGCTGTATGCCGGCTCCCTTGGCCAATAAAGCGAGATGAGCACCACAACCCCAGAGTCGGTCATGACTGGACCTAATGGTCAGGGGTCCCTTTACCTTTACCTTTAGCTTTAGCTTCCTCAAGATGCAGTTAGTTGTGATAGTGCAGTTTTTCTGCACATGAGCATAATGTGGCAAAGTTTTGAAAGGCTTTCTGCTTTCAGTGGTACATGTCATGCTTCTCCTTTGTGCTTGTGATCATTTCTCCTCCGTTACTAACATGTCTGCAGCTAACTGTTGCTTTTTTGGAAATTCACGTTATGTATCATTTGTGGCATACATGTCCATAATAGTTAATTTATATATTGCATGGGCAACCTAGGAAGCTGCTTTATATATAATCAGACCATTGGTCCATCCAGTTCAATGTTGTCTACTCTGACTGGCAGTGACTCCCCCAGGGTTTAAGGCTCTTCACAGAAAATAAGCCACCTGCTTGCAATTATAATACAATAACCATGATTTGTGGACTCGTGCTGGACACTTCAGTTGTTACCAGCAGCACATCATTTGCCTTTGTTATCAAATAACAGAGCAGCAGAACAGTATTTCATTCCAGTCACACTTCTCAATTAACTGGGGAGGTTGGTGGGACAATCACTGCAGGGGCAGAATGCTACCTTTCTCCACTGCCAGAGATAACATTTGCAGCTATCTCTAAAGGGAACACAGACAGTGTGTTCCCCAGAGAATGCAAGGAGTACTGGAATGAGTCCAATATCAAAAGACTCCTCCGAAAACTTGATAGCCTTATGAAGCAGAATTGGGAGATTTCTTAGACTGGTGATTAATGCCATTCCAATGGGGGAGAAGCTATATTAGGTAAAGGTAAAGGGACCCCTGACCATTAGGTCCAGTCGTGGCTGACTCTGGGGTTGCGGTGCTCATCTCGCTTTACTGGCTGAGGGAGCCGGCGTACAGCTTCCGGGTCATGTGGCCAGCATGACTAAGCCGCTTCTGGTGAACCAGAGCAGCGCATGGAAATGCCGTTTACCTTCCCGCCAGAGCGGTACCTATTTATCTACTTGCACTTTGACGTGCTTTCAAACTGCTAGGTTGGCAGGAGCAGGGACCGAGCAACCCCGTCACGGGGATTCGAACCGCTGACCTTCTGATCGGCAAGTCCTAGGCTCTGTGGTTTAACCCACAGTGCCACCCGCGTCCCTTAGCTATATTAGGCACCCACTTTTAAAATAACCTAATAATAGAACGGGATTGTTACACTGCCTTTAGACCTTTTATACCCAGGACAAACTAGACATGATGTTAAACAAGTCATCACCTGACTGTCCCATCCTTTTCCTTTTAAATTAAAAAACAAACAAACCAGAAGTCTCAAGTAGGCACAGATCCAGATCAGGCCAGCAGCATGGAAACTGAAGGTTAACACACACACACACCTGGCATTCTTTTCCTGCTAGAAATTTTGGGTGGGGAAATAGCATGGGGCAAAATATTAAAATCCCTGCATTGCAGTACAGTCCCTATTTGGATGGCGCTATTCCTCCCATGGTTATTTTAAAGGATCAAAAAATAAGAAAGATGGAGATGTGCTTCACATCACATCCAACTTGGCCTCTGGGCATTATATGCACTCTCAGTGTGAAATGTACCTCCTCAGTGGCCTCTGACAACTAGAAGAGGTCTCTTCGATGCGTTTTGATGGCTGGTGGCTGCTAGCTATGGCAAACAGATCCAACCTCCTTGAGTAGGTAGCTAGAGGGAGAAAGTGTTTAGAATTGGAATGTCACCAGCAAGAGCACCAAAGTTGTGCCACCTGGGGAATCGGTGCTGCTTTGAAGACCAGAATTGCCTCTCTAGATGCTTGCCTGTGCCTGCATGTATATTTTGTAAAAAAAAAATCAAAAATCCAGTACCCTCTCCTCACACGGAAACCGGGCCCACAAAGGAACACGTGAGGAGCA